CGCCACACCGGCCGCCCCTCCAGCTCCAGCAGCTGGTCGCCGGGCCGCAGCCCGGCCGCGTGCGCGCTGCTGCCGTCCTCCACCGCCAGCACGTAGCACGGGCCCGTGCCGCCCAGCTGGAAGCCAAACGCCTCGGGCCACTCCTCGTTGCTCGTCGGCATCGCGGCAACTGCAAAGGAAGCGGGAGAAAAGGGGCTGAGCTGGTTCTGTCCCTTGCGGACAAGGCCAAGCCCTGCGAGGGCCATGCGGCTTCCTCGAGCCTGCGCTCTGGTCCCCACTCCGTGCTTGCACCTGGAGCAGAAAGGCTGCAAAAGGGGATGCTCATCATGTTGGTGCATTGTTTTGCTCCCTAAAAATGGCTTTTATTCTTCTGCCAGCCCTGCCAGGGCAATGAGCAATGAGGAAACAAGTGGAACTGAATGAAACATTGATGTTTAACATGAAAAGCCAGCACATGAGCCCGGGTTTCACCTGCTGGCTGCATGTACATAACCCACCTTGCCCATGGAGATGGCTTCAGTCTCTTGCTTACAGTTACCTGTGCAGCAAAACAATTATTTCATAATTCTGACATGTCACGTTAATAAATAGCTCAGGCAGTAATTTGAGACAGCTCTATTTTAACTAACTCGTCCCAAAACTCAGCATCGCTTGGACTCGATGATCTTGAAGGTCTTTTCCAACCATAACGATTCTATGATTCGGTGTTTTCTGCAGTTGCAAGCTACAAAAACGTTTTAATGAGAATTCGTCAGCTCCTCTCAGCCTTGCTGGGGATATTTCCTTTTGCCCCCCAGGAGCGAGCAGGCCAGAAGTGTCCTGCGTGCAGCATTAGCCTCGCTACCTGGGGGGAGCCTCTTCACAAGGACTTGTTATTTTGAAGTCAGACCCTGCCTCCGTGGACTCAGTGTTGAAGGAGAAACAGGGCACCTCAGCCACTAACGGATAGGAGTTGTCCGTGCCGAAGCTGCACTCGGACCTTGGGATTTTGAAGCTTTACGTGCAGTACAGAAAAACAACAGCCCCTTGCAAGGTGTGTTGGACCCTCAGGATGTGTAAGTACACACATTGATTCTCCATTGACACTTGCTAAATTAATCTGCATGGGGATTTTCACTTCATTTGATCTCAGCTGTCAGAGAAGATGCTTTCTATTTCCACATTTATTTCAATTGTGTTACTTAACACACATTAAGCATTTACAAAAATGAATATACATTTAAATTATTTTGTCTTGTTAAGTCATCTTACAGAGATATCTGTGCATCTCCTGTCTTATTTGCCCCACAGCAGCCGCTTTCTGCCTTCCCTGTGCTCGCACAGCTTGTTAGGGCCCATTGGGAAACTCAGGACCACATAAAGGTAAAGAACCATTTCACATCTTCATCTCATCACTGTCGGGATGACCTGCCTATGATCTGAATGACCAAGAGACATTTCTGGGAGAGATCTTCCCTGCTTTGTGCAAAATTCAGCGGAGATGAAAACACTGTTGAATATCCTATTATGGTCCAAAGAGATGAAAGACATGTTTCTAACGTTCACTTTCAGCAGAGGTAATATGGAACAGCTTGCTCGGAGAGGAGTGTGAGGGCAGCAGGGAACAGAGCATTACTGCAGAAAAGTGTGTTAATAACTAGTCTGGTCTGCTATTGCAAACAGCTACTCAATACTGTACTGTAAAGGGCCCCGGGAGGGTTATTTTATAAGAAAATACTAAAAGAACCAAACAATATGCTGCAACTGACACCATAAACATAAAAAAAACCCCTGTCCTTTGTACAGCAGTGCTGACAAAAATGATACATAAATATCATGATTATTATATAAAAAGAAAATGAAATTGTTAGACTATATCAACATGTGTAGATGTCAAGGACAGGGAGGCAGAACTTGAGGTTGAGGCCCAGAGGCAAGTTCGGCACAACAAAATGAACCCGTCAGAGCAAAAGCCTCAACCCCACCAGGGTGTTGGGCAGGGGTTTGGGGTGCTAGCAGGTTTGGGGTGCTGGGCTGGGGTTTGGGGCTCTGGCAGGTTTGGGGCACCAGCAGGAGCCCCTAAGCGCAGGGAGGCACCAGGAGCGTGGCCTCCCCGTGCCGAGCACCGCAGCGAGCCGAGGAGCCGGAGCCGGCGGCGCCGACCCTGCGCTGGGAACGGCCATGACCCCTTCCCGTCTCCCAGCGAGGGCTGTGCGAGCAGGAAAGCACTCACAGAGCTGCAGCCGCCGCGCTGAGCCTAGCAGGGTCCCGGCGGGAGCCGCTTTGTCCCGCTGCGGCTTTGAAGCTCCCCCTTCCTGCTTCTCCTTGAAGGCTGTAGCGCCTGCCCGCACGCATCCCGGCTCCTCGCAGCAGCTCCCAGCTCCGGCGTCCACGGAGCAGCTTCCCGGACTGCCTGGGGGAGCATCCCTGGAGCCCGGGAGCAGGCAGGATGCCGCATCCCTGGAGCTGGGGCCGCTCCGGGCAGGAGCGCTGCAATTCTCGGCAGGGTTTCTCCCCCCATGCACATAAGGCAGTCGTTATATCGGCTTCCCAATCGTCTTACCCCGGAGCTGCACCCTGCCAGGCACCCCGAACTAGCAGCAGGCACAGGGATAAAAGTCTCTCCTTCTGTTCTAATTAGCTTCATTTTCATTGCAAGCACTATGGACAGACTCGTTACCTTGCTGGTGCTGGCTGAGCCTAGTGCTGCCCTGAGGCTGCAGATCTGAGTGGAATTAAGACCTGGAAGGAGGCAAAACAGATTAGGGGTCATCACGTGGGGAAATCCACCCGGGCAAATCTGGAAAGACGGTGGCTCCAAAGCAGCAGAACGTGGTGCTCCCCTCAGCTCCCGTGGTAGCCTGGGCATGCGCACGCTTACTTGGTCCTTTTAACAGGTGATCTGGGCAGAAAACTGGAGGCTTGGGCAGTCTGTCTGCCAGAAAACATGGAATATGCTGCAGCCATTGTGGGGCCTCGACTAACGCCATCAAAACCGCTCTCTCCTGTAATGTTTGTCATTTGCGCTGTAGACACCGAGGCCGTGCTCAGCGCGGGAGCGGAGATGGTCCCGCAGGACACGGCCCCGCGTGGGCACCGGCGCCACATTAAGCTGCTCCTGCTGCTTTTCTCTTTTGCATCCTCAGCACTTAGGGATCCCACGGCTTAGCAAGCTAAGAGGTTTTAGGGTATTACACGTCCTGCTGCAACAGCAGCACAAGCAGGAGCCCGCGCCAGAGATACGCTGATAGGAACCCTTCCCTTGGCTGCACCAGCGTGGGCTGGATGTGAAACAGCCCCACGGGAAGCTCTGATGTGGGGCACTTGACACGGGCTTGAATAGCGTTTGGGAGCGGGAGCTGCAGGGAGCTGCGCAGCCAGCTCGTCCACGGACACGGCGCTGCGGGGCTCTTCCTCCCGCTAACGCCTTCCTGCCCGTGAACGTGTCACCGCTGCAGCAGGTGGGCAACCTGCCTCCTTCCACCTCTTGCTCTGCTCGGTCCAGCACCCACGTGCCCAGGCCAGGGGGACACTTTGCTGGAGATGAGAGGGCTTCATGCCATGTCCCTTCTGTCCTAAGGGGTTGTGAATTTGCAGAAACCAGATTTGCCCAATATGAGGTCCTTGGTGCATGGAAGGGGAATGTCTTCCACCATAAAGTTGACTCCTGGGGGTTTCAGAGGTGTTATTTTGAACAAACTGTTGTGACGCCTGTGCCTGCCATTTGTGATGAGTGTGGCAGTCCTCAGCCACCTCTGCTCCAGGGTCTGATTCCCAGGGGAGGTTTATACCTGACTGGTTTTCCTACACAGATTTGCAAGAGGTTTTTGTTCGTTTGTTTGTTCACAGAAAGAATCCTTTGCATTAGAAGAACACCGCTGTCTAACCAGCCTTTTCTCTTGTTATTTCCCTTTTTCAGGCCTCTTTTCCAGTTCTCTTGTGCAGGTTGCCACATCCCCAGATGTGAAGCCAGAAGAAAGGGATGTGATTTGTGTGGCCATAAACACGTGGGGCTGCGAAGTCAAAGAGCATTGCAAGCCCCTGGCTAACCTGGCGCGCTCCCATCACCAGATCCAGCCTCAGCGGGTATTGCATTTGTTCGGGAAAAGAACAGGCACTGCAGGAATGAGATGCCGTGGCAGAACTAGAGGCCTGTATGGAATGATTTAGTCCTGAACTCCCCTGCCGTGGTTTAGGAGGTTGAATGCTGGGTGGGAAAGCAGGGCTGCAGATTTGGATCAGGGCTCGCTGGCAGGAGCGGCGGGAGGGGGAACGCGGCAAGGGGGAGGTCGGTGCCAAAGTGACACGTGTTGGCAGAGGCGCCTGAGGATCCTGCGGAGCTGCTGGCTCCGATTCCTCCTCCTGTGGGCAGCAAAGTCACCCAAGGTGAAACACAAGCGTGGAGCGCAGACGCGCTCCCGCTGCTGCGGCCAGCACGTTCCCGGCGTGCCCCGGTAGCCTAGCAAGAATATCCTGATTAGAGAAGAACTAGGAAACTGGGATAGTTGGTCACTGCCCCTGTGCAGCCTGGGAAGCAGGAGCACTGAGCAAGGAGCAAATGGCAAAATGAAGGATGGCTTCCTTTCTCACTATTTTTAAGTGACAAAATGCATTAAGACATAGACAACAAATTTCAGGCCTTGCAAGAAATTAATTATGGAATTCCAGGCTAAAGCTATGGATAAGAAAGATCTAAGGTGTAGATTTCCACACCTGACAAAACTTGTAACTGACTTTTGCTGCATTTAGGTTGCTAGATCTAGAGGTTGCTAGTTTAGGCTGCTAGGGACTAGAGCTCAGAGCAGAGCCGGTGCCAGTGCCTGTTCAGTGGCTCCATGGTACTCACTGCATTTACTTCTGTTGGTGCCCGCTCTGTGCCCCAGGAATGTGTTATTTTATTTTAAAACTCCATGTCACACGTTGCAGACAAACAATCCACACGGTTTTGCACAGCACTCACAGTAACGCCAGCGGCCCAGCCAAGGGCCGCTTCGCACCTTGCCAAACTCACAGGGATACAGCTAACATTGCAGATATTGCTGCACTCGGAGCACGATACAGTTTGTGCTCGCTGTCAGCAGGGGAAAAACCCAACCTCCTTTGCAGTGTTCTGTGGCAGGAGCAGAGCGGCCGCGCTCCGCGCTAGCGCTCCGGGAGAGCGGAGCCCAGGGAATCCAGGCTGCATTTCTGCCTCTCCCGGCCTCTAGCCTGCTGCATCGCTGCTCAGCAGGGGAAGGAGGAAAAGAGGATCCCTTTCCCGAACACAACCTCGTGGCCAGCCCGCCTGGGCGTGCGGCTCGTCCCGCCGTCGCGCGCACCCGTCCCGCGTGCTCGCAAGGCTTACCTGTGGCGGCCGGGACGGCGCCGGCGGCAGGCGGCAGCGAGGCGGCGAGCTGGCCGACCATCACCGCAGCCTCCGGGCTCTGGATCGGTTACGCGGCGGCCGCGTGGGTTCTCCGGCAAACCCGAGCCGGCCGGTAACCTGATCAGCGCCGCGTGGTTTCAGTTGACGGCCGCGGGACCCCCCGCACCTCTGCCTCTAACCGTGCCCATCCATCGCTGCCCAAGGGCCGCTAATTCACCGGTTTTTACAGCATCGGGGACGTCTGGTGCTGGAGGAGGCTGCTCGCTGCCGGATAGAGTCAATAACCCCCAGAGCCTCTGCACAAGCCAGGGGGATTTCACCTGCTGCAACAAATATGATGCATTTTTTTCAACTTTCTGAAAGCAACACAGGTTTTAGTGCCACACAGAGCTAGGTGGGACATTTCAACCTTCCGGATCACGTCCTGCTTTGAGAGCAGGGGACTTTTCCCACGTCTTTTCCCTTCGGCTCGCATTGCAACGAGCCGCCTCGGGCCACAGCAGCTCCCGACACAGCGAAATGATTTCACCCTGACGTTCCCTCTGTCACTTTATTCTTCCTTTCCTGCTGTGGAAGCAGGGGAAGGGCCTCACACAAAGAGCAGAGCTGCGGTGTGAAGCGGTTCAGGAGCAGCAGGCTGCTTTCTAGCTCCATCCACAGACCCTTCCCACTGCTCTTGTCCCGCAGCGGCTACATCTGACACTCGTGACGCTCCTAACTAATTCCCTTTCCCTCCCCAGGGCCGCCCGTCTCGGCTCCGCTCACCAACCACTCACCAGCAGGGCTGAGCCCTGATTTTTCCAAATGCTTCCATGAATAGAGACACTATCTTTTAACTTTTATTTTTATTTTATTTTATTATTTCATTTCATTTCATTTCATTTCATTTCACTTCACTTCACTTCACTTTATTACGAACCAGTGCAGGCCCCAACCCTGGGCGGGTTCCCCCTCTGGCCATGTCCCCCGTGCCATGTGGTGGCCTTGTCCCCCCGACCTCCGCACATTGGCGGTGGTCTGCACGCCGCCTGTGCGTCACCTCTGTGTGTGTGTGTGTGTGTGTGTGTGTGTGTATTTGTGTGACTGTTTGTCCCCGCGGCCCCGCTCGGCTCGGGCTCGGCTCGGGCGGGACGGGCCACATTTCAGCGGTTGGTGCGGCCGGCCCAGCGAGGCCTCGCGCCGCCGCCACCACTTCCGGGTGGCTCCCGGTTGCTAGGCAACGCCTTCGCAGGCGATCCCCGAGCGCTGTCGGCGCTCCATTAGCCGTCCTGGGGAGGAGGGGCGGCGGTGAGCGGCTCCGCGGGGCGCTGCGGGGCGGGGGGACAAGGACGGGACCCCCCCCCCCCCATCCCCGGTCCTTGTGCAGGCCGGGCCGTCCACACGGCCGGTCCCTGGTGTCGCCCCCGGCGCCAGCCGCCCTCCTGCCCGCCTCCCTCCGGCCTGCTGCCCTCTCAGGGCCTGGGGGTGCCCCCGTGTCCCCTGGAATGGGTGTCCTGGGGGTGTCCCCTGGACTGGTCCCCTGGGGGTGTCCCCTGTCTCGGTGCCCCCCCCCGTCCCCTGTAATGGAGGTGTCTTCTCGCATTTTGTGTCCCTGTCCCCCCCAGCAGGCCCATTTTAACAAGCCGCCCCCCCCCCACGGCCTTCCAAGGCCTCGGGTGCTTTCCAGGTGCTCCCCGTGCTGGGGAAGCGCAGGAATACGGGAACGTCTCCTTGAAATAACGGCCACTGCCTCGCGCGGGGCCTTGTGCCCGTCGCCGGGCCTCGCGGCGCCTCCTTCCCGGGGAGCGCTGGCGGGCGCGCGCGCGGCGTGGGAGCGCTCGGCGCGGGCGGCTCCGCGCGCTGCCAACAGCCCGCGTGCTCGGCAGGGCTCGCCATGGACTTCGCGACGCTCCTCGTGCTCTACGTGTGCTGCGTGGCCGCCACGGCCGCGCTGCTCTGCCTGCGCGCGGGGAGGAGGCCGCGCCGCGCCGCGGCCCGGGTGAGCCACCGGCCTGGCCTGCGCCGGCGGACATCGGCGCCGCTTGCCTTGCTGCTGCGTGGGAAGCGGCCGCTGTGCGGGTTTGGGGTGCTGCAGGCCGTGTGTCGCAGTCCGTCACCTCTGCTCCTAGGGGAGCACTGAGATCAGAAGTAGGAGAGCGCTTCCCTCCACCTGCCAAAAACCCGGCCAAGGTGGCAGTGCAAAGCACGGGCCTCTGTGGCGCTGGGTGTCCTGCTCGGGGGTGTCCTGCTCGGGGTGTCCTGCTCGGGGTGTCCTGCTCGGGTTGTCCTGCTCGGGGGTGTCCTGCTCGGGGTGTCCTGCTCGGGGGTGTCCTGCTCCGGGTGTCCTGCTCAGGGATGCCCTGCTCG